TGCAGGAAAAAGCTCCTGATTCCGGCCTTCTCGTTTCATATCCACCATTTTATTTCACTGTGGCAATACCTGCTAATTAATAAGCATTATTAATAATGAATATTTTTGCCCTAGTAAAGATCCCTTGCTAAGGCTATTCGAATCATAGTATCCATGGGCAGGCAGGTTTGTTTATTACCATTATTAATAATTTATTTAATATCACTTGTATAAACTATGTGAATGTCCAACTGCAATATACTATAGGTTGGGATATATTCATGGCTGCTATTGAAGCTGCTTTAACCAGTTCTTTTAAAATCTACTTTACTTGCCGTATCTTGGAACTTCCACCTATTCCAGTTAGTATTTACTGGCTTGGGTGTGGTTTATATCATGACCGACTGACCAGCAAAAATTTACAGCAAGGAGCTTTGAGGCAGAGGTTAATACAAGAAGGTAACAGAAACAGAACAAGTGGCTATTACTCCACTAAAGCTGCTAAAGAATAGGAAATTAACTGAAGACTGTAAACATGTAGTCTTGTTGTCATAGCGATAGTAACTCTATCAATTTCCATGGTAATTAATTACACTTTTATAATTGAGAATATTGTAAATAATACGTAAAGTATAACAAATAGTGATGGGGGACCATGTGGGCATAAAATGGGAAAGCAAATCTATTTGCAGTGGCTTAAATGTAATACATGTTTGTAGTAGGGCTTTGTCCACACAAGCCACTCCCTAAGCTACCCCACGTGACTGCACATGGGCATAAAAAATAGAGTCAATCCATGACATGAAGAGGGTGTTTAAGCCCCCAACCTTTAACATATACATACAATGCTTCACTCAAAGTATAAAACTAACAATTTACTCTATATACTTACCTTATTTGAAGAGATTCAAGTAAAATGAACTACATGAATTATAAACACAAAACTCGGTGCTGTGGATACTAACTAAGGAATAAAATTATTGACGTTTATTTTGAATAATTTCTCTCACTTGAAGCGATTGGTGTCAGTAGATAGCCGTGTCTTTAGGCACACATATCATCTTAATCTCATCATAGATCAGTCAGTAATTGTAAAAGGCTCTGGATTAGGGCTTCCAAGTTCCAACTCTCCATTAAAAATAAAATACTGAGCTTTCTGAGCATGCGCAGTTGGGTGAAATAAAATGGCGTCCAACCACTTGGTGCAGTCCATGTGTGCTTGAAAATAACGAGAGAAACCATTTTCTAGAATTACAATGCCAAGCCACATTGCACTAGCGTCCCTGAAACGCAGCACAATGGTGCAAAAATTATAATTCTAGGATAAAAACTCTAGGACTAGTTCTTATACTTAACTGTGGAAGAAGAACAAACCTGAACATTTGGTGCATGCAGGCATGCATGCATTCATTTGCCGTATAACTATCTTATGGAAGTTTTTACTACTTTTTATAACTCTGAACTGTTTTGATGAAATTATAAAGGACATCTGGGCTGTCAGATAAGCCACAAAGAATTTCTAAAGATATTACAGGGGCTCAATGCTTCTGGGATGGCAGCCATTTTAGGGGCACAGTCGTCCAACTCAACCCTACATACCAAGCACTAGCACTTGGTAATAACATACTAGAACTGGTCTATATACAAAAGATATAGACCTGTGGTGGGTGTCCTTATACATATAGAGTATTGTTTCCATAATACACATGTACAGTATAGTAAAATAATGTATGCCTCCATGACTGCTCACAATAGAGCATTGTCCAATAATGCTCATGACCATACAGCATGCATGAGATTGATAGCATTGTTTCCATAACATACACATACAGTATGTAAAGGACCTATGACTATATACTAACTATTATTGTACTCTAATTGTATTGTGCTATTTTACTGTCTGGAACATTCTATAGAAAATGTGCATTATATCTGTATTGTATTATTGTACTTTCTAGAATCCTCCAGGAGGCTGTGTATCCTTCATGTATTTGTATGTGTCCAGAAGTTTCTGGAACCTTGTAATTAGTATAAATAGAGTTGTGAGTTGGTGTTTTGTTGTTCTTCACTTGTTTATTCTAATAATTCTTTTATAAGTCAAATCGATCTTCGACACAGTATAGTAAATGAATGTATGCCCTCATGACTGCTCACAATAGAGCATTGTCTAATAATGCCAGCATGCATGAGATTGATGTACATGTATATGTGTTACTGACAGCAATTGGGCATTATCAAATGTAAGCTAGCACAGGATTTCACTCACAACTGCCAAAAAAATTTTTAAAGAGATGGTCATTATCTGATTCTCAACGACTCCTATACATGTACATATGATCTTTATCATGCCATGTGACATAGTGCTTTGCACTTTATAACAGGGGCATTTAGACATGAACAGCACTAACGTATTATACTCTACTGTACAATCCAAAATTTATACAAGAGTGATAACAAGAGAACTTTTGGTGATAATTACAATGTAAGGTCTCAATTGCTTAAATCAATATTCAGTTTCAAAATTTCTAACTCACTTTGGCATCTAAAAGCTACAGTATACAAGACATCACAGGATAAAGGTGGTGTGTAGCGACTAATTGAATAATCTTGGATCCTTTCATCAGTTGGAGAACAGTATTCATCAGTAACCAGTAATACCTATTAAATGAATAAAGAGAATGAGATGAATATCTCAACTCACCTACAAAAAAATTCATTTAGCATTTCCTCAAATAAGGGCCTAGGTGTCTACTAACTCAAAAATTGGATTTTAACCTACAATTCCTGACTTAAGGCTGGTTTACAATATTACACTAGTCCTGACATTAGTTGATGCTGGAATAAAATCTGGATCTTTTCTAGCGGAAAGCATGCATCAAAAGGTCAAATTGCCCATGCTTTTGATTAAAATTTGATGGTACGCTGGCCTAACGTCATATTGTAAACCAGCCTTTAGGCAAACTTACATACAACTGCCAGCATCTAACCAACCAAACGTCATGGTACAGGGACTTTGGCCAAATTCTGTCAAAATAATTTCAACAGGCCAAAAACTGACTACAATAGTACATGTTATACTAATTCATAGGTGTAGGAAAAGAAGGGGCAGGGGTCATACCCCAATACAAATAGTTCTTATAATCTATTCGACATTAATTTCATTGTTGCTTTAAACATTGCTGTTCAAAAACACATTCATTATACACCTACTATATGCTCATTATAATCTTCAGAAGATTAAAAATCCACTCACCATAAAGAGAATATCCTAAATGTTACAGACAACACTAGTACCTTGCTCATCTCAGAAATGATTACAAACTGTTCCCCAATTATCATTAACACACACTTGAACTCGTCCATACCTCCTGAAGTAACTGCTTGATTCACTATACAGAAAAACTGTACCATTGACATATGGAGCTATGGTAATATAAAAATACATGTTTTTATAGCATAACTGTAACACTTTTAGATGCTCAAAGCTCATTGATCAAATTGTTTTAAAGCATATACATGTAATTTGTAATAAAAGCCAGGAACAATTAATGCTAATTTGAATGCTTTTTTGAAAAGGTAATACATGTAGCTCAGGAATTACAAATTGACATTGTACTGGAACATGTACATGTACAAACAGTAATAGATATGATACAGCATCTTTATAGTCTTGGTAACGATTGATCCCAAAATATGTCTAGTACTCTATTTATACTCATTCACCCAGATCATAATAAAATTTCATTTCATGAATTGATTACATGCAGGTAGATCTATAATAAAAAGTAATAATGTTAAAATATAGTTCTGTCTATGTTACAACAGTAACAGCATCAGACCTAGGACGTAGATCTACTTACCAAGCTGATCGATCCATTAGTGCACTGTTGCCTAGTCTCACCACATTGGAATCAGTCAAGAAAAACCACAGCAAAGACTCTATTGTAGGATGTGACCACGTGACGTAACAACTTGTTATTAAACTATTATTAATAACTAGTATTGATAACTAATAATAGCTAAGACAAAAACTAAAGATGAGTCACACTGTCTAACTAAAATTGCAGAAAGGGAGAGACAATATCTACTAAACAGCAATAATTCAGCACAAGAAAATTATTATTTAGAGGAAAGTTTCTTTAGATTCTTCAAGCATAACACCAAAACTTTCAACTTGACCACCTTGACATTCTTTTTCATCCATAATGATGCCATTGAGATCATTTTCACTTTCACTTTCATCTTCATCACTACTGTCAAACTCTTGAGCCAATTTCAATTTGATACTGCGGACCGAACCTATTATTATTATCATTTCAGTCAAAAGTTTGAAAATACATATTAGAATAATCTACCTGCAGGGGTAGGTGGAACAGCTTCATAATATAGATTCTCAACAGTAAAGTTATCATTATTTTCTTTCTCAATAATTTTATTGGACCTCTTCTTATAGCTATTGAACATAATCTTCATATATACATTGACTGAGGTCAACTTACCGTATAAGACAGGCCACATTGATAATTATTATTATCACGAGTAAGACTCCAATTACAACTCCAATTGTTATTCCTGCTATTTGTCCAGCAGATAGTCCATCATCTGTAGGAGTTGCTGAAGCAGTAGGTGTCACTACAATAGTAGTTGATGGTGGATTTAGTAATGTAAGATCAGCAATTGTGAACCCAGCATTAACATATCTTGAATCAGCTTCCTATAATAAATATAATAATAAAATAAGTTTAGCCACATGAAGGCTGTAGCTTTGGCTACTAAACAGTGGCACTGTAAAACTAATAAATATTGCCTAAGCTTCAGTGAACTACACTACTAATATAATTGTCCTTCATATACAGAACAAAACAATATATTGTAGCTAGCTTGCCTTTATAGCTGCTACAACTGCATTGGCATCAACAGGAGTTCCAGATTGTCCTTTGACATAAAACGTCACTTTTAGTCCATTGTTTGTTTCAGTTATCTCTGTAATAATTATATCATCAGGTTTTATCATGTTATTTCTTGATGTCCTATTAAATAAATTGTATTATAAGTATTTGTGAATTATTTATTTCATTTTACCTTTTCCTTTTTTGTGAAGAGACACCATTACAGTCATTGCTGCTACAATATTCATTTAAACCTCTGCTGTTACATTCTTGAAGCTCTATCTATCAAACTATTATAAAATAAAAATAGCAA